AGGGGCTGGGAAGTTGGCTCAGTGGTAGATTGCTTGCTTTGCATGTATAAGGTCCTGGGTTCGATTCTTCAGCACCACATAAGCAGCGGGAAAAAAGCCAGAAGTGGCACTGTGGCTCAAGTGGTAGAGTGATAGCCTGGAGCTGAAGAGTTGAGGGACAGCACACAGGCCCATAGTTCAGGCCCTACAACCAACAGAAAAAAAGAAAGAAAAAAAGAACTGCAAGACATTTCTTTCTCCAGTTAACGATCAGAATGGCAAACTAGAGACATGGCTCAAGTGTTGAGTGTCAGGTATGAGCAAGAAAGCCAAGCGAGAGCAAGAGGTTCTGAGTTCAGGCCTCGGTACTATCACAAAAAAAGTAAAAACGGGGCTGGAAATGTGGCTTAGTGGTAGAGTGCTTGCCTAGCAGTCATGAAGCCCTGGGTTCGATTCCTCATTACCACATAAACAGAAAAGGCTGGAAGTGGTGCTGTGGCTCAAACGGTGGAGTGCTAGCCTTGAGCTTTTGCTCAGGGACAGTGCCCAGGCCCTGAGTATAAGCCCAGGACTGTCAAAAATAAAATAAAAACAGAAGATTGAAAAAAGTTTGTAGTTTTTAAAATTATTTTGGGTAGTAAGCTGCATTTTAAACCATGTGTGCAAAAGTAACTAAGAAATACTGCCGAGTAAATTATTCTTAGTGTTAGGCTGGTGGTTCTTGGAGTCAGGGGTCACCTGCCTTCCAGTAAAAATTTGATAACGTCTGAAGGTACTTTGTGTTACTGCAGTTTATGAGTAATGCACCTAGTGAGTAGAAACCAAGAATGCTTCTAAGTACTTTTGAGTTTCAGGAGCCTTATGTTAGATTGTCATGACTGTAATAGTGTCTTAGGATAAACATCTGAGCAGTAGAAGGGTTTTATAAAGTTTGTTTTATTTTCTTCTAGTTGGAATTGAGATGGGAGATTGGCAAGAAGTCTGGGATGAGAACACAGGATGCTATTACTATTGGAACACACAAACAAATGAAGTAACTTGGGAATTACCCCAATATCTTGCCACCCAGGTACAGGGATTGCAACATTACCAGCCCAGGTAAGGCCAGGACATACATGAAAAAAGTATGTAGAGGGCTAGGAAGGTGGTTCAGTGGTAGAGTGCTTGCCTTGCATGCATGAGGCCCTGGGTTCGATTCTTCAGCACCACATAAGGAGAAAAAGCTGGAAGTGGCACTGTGGCTCACATGGTAGAGCGCTAGCCTTGAGCTGAAATGCTGAGGGACAGCACCCAGGCTCAGAGTTCAGGCCCCATGACCAACCAAAAAAAAAGAAAGGAAAAAAGTACATAGAAAAATGTTAGTCTTATCTTGTGCCAAAGGTATTTGCCTTCTATTTCTCCTTCTAAATGTTTGTTGTTGTTTTTTCCAGTTCTGTAACAGGTGCTGAAGCTAGTTTTGTGGTGAATACAGATATATATGCAAAGGAGAAAACAATTTCTGTTTCTGTTTCTAGTAGTAAAAGTGGACCAGTCATAGCCAAACGAGAAGTTAAAAAGGTAAGTGTTACATATTAGGGCATTTATGTGTTAATTAAATGTAATAAACTACAAGTAAGTTTTGGACCAATTCAGTTTTTTTATTAATTGTAAAGATAACTGTATAAAGGGGTTACAGTTACATGAGTAAGCTAATGAGTACATTTCCTATAATTTAGATTTTTGAATATGATTGAGCATTTCATTTTATTGTCTGTTAATCTCCTTCAAAGCACACCTTATCAAGTCATATGTTAAGCTGACAAAAATGCGAATCTCATTTAAAAATTTGCCTCTGCTTCCTATTAACCCACCTTTGACTTTGTGAAACTAGGAAAGGATAGATTTTAGTGCCACTAAGAACTGATTTTAATTCAGCCACGACCTTTCTTAACATTCCCTATATGTATGTGTTAAAGGTCTTTTGAGTTTAAATGAATTTTGTAAGTATCCAGTAACTAAAAGTAAAATTAGTATGAATAATAAAGTATATAGGGGAGATTTCTTTAGATAGTTGACACTGAATGATTTCATTCTTTGTAGGAAGTAAATGAAGCAATTCAAGCTCTCTCTAACAATGAGGAGGAGAGGAAAGGAGTGGCAGCATCACTGCTTGCCCCTTTATTGCCAGAGGGAATAAAAGAGGAGGAAGAGAGATGGAGAAGAAAAGTAATTTGTAAAGAAGCAGAGCCAGTATCAGAGGTAAAAGAAACGAGTACAGCAGAAGAAGAAGCAGTGACCACAGTAAAGCCACAGGAAGTTCTAATGGACAGTATAGAAGATCCTTCTCAGGAAGATGTTTGCAGCGTTGTTCAGTCTGGAGAAAGTGAGGAGGAAGAAGAACAAGATACCCTTGAGTTGGAGCTAGT